CTATAAATATCAGATTTACTCATATTTTAATTTTTTTTAGATTTCTAATGATTAATGGGAATATGTTAATCTCTTTTCCTACTAGGAACTCCATTAATAAAATTTTTATCGTAGAGATTTATACTTATTATTCCTATAAATATCAGATTTACTCATATTTTAATTTTTTTTTAGATTTCTAATGATTAATGGGAATATGTTAATCTCTTTTCCTACTAGGAACTCCATTAATAAAATTTTTATCGTTGAGATTAATACTTATTATTCCTATAAATATCAGATTTACTCATATTTTAATTTTTTTTTAGATTTCTAATGATTAATGGGAATATGTTGATCTCTTTTCCTACTAGGAACTCCATTAATAAAATTTTAATCGTGAGATTTATACTTATTATTCCTATAAATATCAGATTTACTCATATTTTAATTTTTTTCTAGATTTCTAATGATTAATGGGAATATGTTGATCTCTTTTCCTACTAGGAACTCCATTAATAAAATTTTTATCGTTAAGATAAATACTTATTATTCCTATAAATATCAGATTTACTCATATTTTAATTTTTTTTTAGATTTCTAATGATTAATGGGAATATGTTGATCTCTTTTCCTACTAGGAACTCCATTAATAAAATTTTTATCGTAGAGATTTATACTTATTATTCCTATAAATATCAGATTTACTCATATTTTAATTTTTTTCTAGATTTCAAATGATTAATGGGAGTATGTTGATCTCTTTTCCTACTAGGAACTCCATAATAAAATTTTTATCGTTGAGATAAATACTTATTATTCCTATAAATATCAGACTTACTCATAATTTTTTTTTTTAGATTTCTAATGATTAATGGCAATATGTTAATCTCTTTTCCTACTAGGAACTCCATTAATAAAATTTTTATCGTAGAGATTTATACTTATTATTCCTATAAATATCAGATTTACTCATATTTAATTTTTTTTAGATTTCTAATGATTAATGGGAATATGTTGATCTCTTTTCCTACTAGGAACTCTATTAATAAAATTTTTATCGTAGAGATTTATACTTATTATTCCTATAAATATCAGATTTACTCATATTTTAATTTTTTTTAGATTTCTAATGATTAATGGGAATATGTTAATCTCTTTTCCTACTAGGAACTCCATTAATAAAATTTTTATCGTTAAGATATATACTTATTATTCCTATAAATATCAGATTTACTCATATTTTAATTTTTTTTAGATTTCTAATGATTAATGGGAATATGTTGATCTCTTTTCCTACTAGGAACTCCATTAATAAAATTTTTATCGTAGAGATTTATACTTATTATTCCTATAAATATCAGATTTACTCATATTTTAATTTTTTTCTAGATTTCAAATGATTAATGGGAGTATGTTGATCTCTTTTCCTACTAGGAACTCCATAATAAAATTTTTATCGTTGAGATAAATACTTATTATTCCTATAAATATCAGACTTACTCATAATTTTTTTTTTTAGATTTCTAATGATTAATGGCAATATGTTAATCTCTTTTCCTACTAGGAACTCCATTAATAAAATTTTTATCGTAGAGATTTATACTTATTATTCCTATAAATATCAGATTTACTCATATTTAATTTTTTTTAGATTTCTAATGATTAATGGGAATATGTTAATCTCTTTTCCTACTAGGAACTCCATTAATAAAATTTTTATCGTAGAGATTTATACTTATTATTCCTATAAATATCAGATTTACTCATATTTTAATTTTTTTTAGATTTCTAATGATTAATGGGAATATGTTGATCTCTTTTCCTACTATGAACTCCATTAATAAAATTTTAATCGTAGATTTATATTTATTATTCCTATAAATATCAGATTTACTCATATTTTAATTTTTTTCTAGATTTCGAATGATTAATGGGAATATGTTAATATCTTTTCTTACTAGGAACTCCATTAATAAAATTTTTATCGTTGAGATTTATACTTATTATTTCTATAAATATCAGATTTACTCATATTTTAATTTTTTTTAGATTTCTAATGATTAATGGGAATATGTTGATCTCTTTTCCTACTAGGAACTCCATTAATAAAATTTTTATCGTAGAGATTTATACTTATTATTCCTATAAATATCAGATTTACTCATATTTTAATTTTTTTCTAGATTTCAAATGATTAATGGGAGTATGTTGATCTCTTTTCCTACTAGGAACTCCATTAATAAAATTTTTATCGTTGAGATAAATACTTATTATTCCTATAAATATCAGACTTACTCATAATTTTTTTTTTAGATTTCTAATGATTAATGGGAATATGTTAATCTCTTTTCCTACTAGGAACTCCATTAATAAAATTTTTATCGTAGAGATTTATACTTATTATTCCTATAAATATCAGATTTACTCATATTTTAATTTTTTTTTAGATTTCTAATGATTAATGGGAATATGTTAATCTCTTTTCCTACTAGGAACTCCATTAATAAAATTTTTATCGTAGAGATTTATACTTATTATTCCTATAAATATCAGATTTACTCATATTTTAATTTTTTTTTAGATTTCTAATGATTAATGGGAATATGTTAATCTCTTTTCCTACTAGGAACTCCATTAATAAAATTTTTATCGTAGAGATTTATACTTATTATTCCTATAAATATCAGATTTACTCATATTTTAATTTTTTTTAGATTTCTAATGATTAATGGGAATATGTTAATCTCTTTTCCTACTAGGAACTCCATTAATAAAATTTTTATCGTAGAGATTTATACTTATTATTCCTATAAATATCAGATTTACTCATATTTTAATTTTTTTTAGATTTCTAATGATTAATGGGAATATGTTGATCTCTTTTCCTACTAGGAACTCCATTAATAAAATTTTAATCGTGAGATTTATATTTATTATTCCTATAAATATCAGATTTACTCATATTTTAATTTTTTTCTAGATTTCGAATGATTAATGGGAATATGTTAATATCTTTTCCTACTAGGAACTCCATTAATAAATATTTTTATCGTTGAGATTTATACTTATTATTTCTATAAATATCAGATTTACTCATATTTTAATTTTATTTTAAGATTTCTAATGATTAATGGGAATATGTTAATCTCTTTTCCTACTAGGAACTCCATTAATAAAATTTTTATCGTTGAGATAAATACTTATTATTCCTATAAATATCAGATTTACTCATATTTTAATTTTTTTTTAAGATTTCTAATGATTAATGGGAATATGTTAATCTCTTTTCCTACTAGGAACTCCATTAATAAAATTTTTATCGTTGAGATATATACTTATTATTCCTATAAATATCAGATTTACTCATATTTTAATTTTTTTCTAGATTTCTAATGATTAATGGGAATATGTTAATCTCTTTTCCTACTAGGAACTCCATTAATAAAATTTTTATCGGAGAGATTTATACTTATTATTCCTATAAATATCAGATTTGCTTCATATTTTAATTTTTTTTTAGATTTCTAATGATTAATGGGAATATGTTAATCTCTTTTCCTACTAGGAACTCCATTAATAAAATTTTTATCGTTAGAGATTAATACTTATTATTCCTATAAATATCAGATTTACTCATATTTTAATTTTTTTTAGATTTCTAATGATTAATGGGAATATGTTAATCTCTTTTTCCTACTAGGAACTCCATTAATAAAATTTTTATCGTTGAGATTTATACTTATTATTTCTATAAATATCAGATTTACTCATATTTTAATTTTTTTTTAGATTTCTAATGATTAATGGGAATATGTTAATCTCTTTTCCTACTAGGAACTCCATTAATAAAATTTTTATCGTAGAGATTTATACTTATTATTCCTATAAATATCAGATTTACTCATATTTTAATTTTTTTTAGATTTCTAATGTTTAATGGGAATATGTTAATCTCTTTTCCTACTAGGAACTCCATTAATAAAATTTTTATCGTTGAGATAAATACTTATTATTCCTATAAATATCAGATTTACTCATATTTAATTTTTTTTAGATTTCTAATGATTAATGGGAATATGTTAATCTCTTTTCCTACTAGGAACTCCATTAATAAAATTTTTTATCATAGAGATTTATACTTGTTATCCCTATAAATATCAGATTTATTTTGTTAGAGGTTTCTAGTTACTTATCTTACTAGGAAATCTATTTATCATACGTATTCTGATTACAAATATTGTTAAAAGGCTCGATTTGAGTCAAGTTTTTAAAAACGGCTAACTCAAATTTTCGCTATGCAAAATATTGATTAAGCCTCGAGATTTAGCTAATAGATGCCAAACCTTTATGCTACCTCTGAGCAAGGTCTGCTGGCTTGCCTAATATTTTTTGGATAAAATATTGAGTTAGCCATTTTTAAAAATCGGCTCAAATCGAGCCGTTTAACAACATTACTTATAAATAATATGATATAATAAATAAGCATGCATGTTGTAAGAATAATGAAATATAAGCCTAACAATTTTATTATTACTTTTGCAATTATATCAATAGTATATATAAATATTATTATTGTGATTGATAAATATAAAATAATGATTGCAATTGTATAATAATGCTATATAAAATAATGATTGCAATTTATATATCAATAGTATATAAATTTATATTTATTGAGACTATATATTGATGAAGGTATATAAAATCAAGATTGCAATTTCCATATCAATTATAAAATTATATTTATTAAGACTGTATATTGATGGTGGTGTATAAAAATTTGTATATATTGCAATTGAATATTAATTGTATATAAAATGATGATTACAATTTGTATATCAATAGGTGGTATATAAAATAATGATTGCAATTTGTATTTCAATAGTAATATATAAAATTAGGGCAATTACTTTTTGCATATCAATATTATATAAAATGGTGTAAATTTGGCATAAAAAGCATTAAAAAATGAAAATTTTGACAGCATGATCATAATATTGATAAAGAGTGATGTGAATTTTTAGGTAAAAACCTAATAATTAATAAATATTTATGTATGCATATAATAGTTTTCTCTATTTTGAGAATATAAATAATTATTAGAAAATAGTAGATTTTTTATTAAATTTAGATTTTATAAATTTATATTGGGCATTTTGCTTTAAAAAAATTAATTGTTCCTGAATGGATTATAAATGATGCTAAGATTAAAATTTCCAGGTTAACAAGATAGCATATTTTAAATTTTCTTTGGTTGGTTGGAGTTCCTGAATGGATTATATCAAGTAATGCTAAGATTAAAATTTCCAGGTTAACAAGATAGCATATTTTAAATTTACTTTGGTTGGTTGGAGTTTCTGAATGGATTATATCAAGTGATGCTAAAATTAAAATTTCCAGGTTAACAAGATAGCATATTTTAAATTTACCTTGATTAGTTGGAGTTCCTGAATGGATTATATCAATTGATGCTAAGAAGAAAATTTCCAGGTTAACAAAATAGCATATTAGCATTATATTCTAAGAAGAAAATTTCCAGGTTAACAAGATAGCATATTAGCAATATATTCTAAGAAGAAAATTTCCAGGTTAACAAGATAGCATAATAGTAATATATTCTATAATTTACCTGGGTTGGTTATGGTCTCAAATGATTGGAGAAAATATTTTAGATAAACTTTCTAAGCAGGCAAGAACTATAATATGATTATTTTATATAAGATTAATAAAAAATATACCAGTGTATTGTTTGGATACATGAAAGATATTGTTTTTAAATATCCCTTTACCCGCACATGATGGGGTTAATGATGCTTACTACCAAGTGAATGTATGGAAATATTTTAAATACCAATCTAATTTGCTAAATACCGACCAAAATTTATTAAAATGTAATAAGACCCTTATTATTTAATATATTAATACGGAATCACGTGGTCGAGTCCGGCCTTCTATATATCATCCCCCCAAGGATGGAACCACCAAGTTAGAATAAGAAAAAAACATGATCATTCCCGGGATTCGAACCCGGGAGCATAGCATAAGTAAGCCAAGCTCTTGCCTACTAGGCCATAGAGGCTTTACAAAAATCACGATTTTTCAAATATATATTATAAATATATTTGGTACTGCCTATCCAAATGAAAAATGAACAAAATTCAAATTTGATAGATGGTACCTTAAGGTACCAAGCATCATTAACCACATGATGGCTTGGTGCATTTGTAATACATAGTAGTATATAACTATCATATTTTCTAAAATGTGAAGGAATCATAAGGTAATATTTATATATAAAGTATATATTGATCAATCAGCTTGTTAAATTGAGCATTGAGCATACAAATTTTAAGCTTAAGCAAAATTTAGCAAAAAGTCACGCGACAAAACATCAAAACACAAAAAAAAAGTATATCATGCGGCACGATGCGAATATATTGAACCGATAATAACGAAAAATAACAAATCATCTGTCATTCATCATATATTGTCTGATCTAATGTCACGTGACAGAAAGACATTTTATGCTTAATTGGCTAAACGCTAAGTTATTATTGCTAAGGATTTAAGTTGCTTACGATTAATCTAAGCACAATTTTAATAAAAAATAGTAGATTTTAGTAGAAACCAAACCCACTGATTTCGGAATACAAAGAAGCCAATAGATATCTAAACGTTTTTACCGAAATACTTTATATTCAGTGGCGTCGCTGGGGGGGGGGGTGCGCAGGGCTCGAGCCCCCTTAAAAATTTGAATAGCCCCCTGAAGCAAACAAAATTTCTTTTTAAAGTCTCCCCCTTGAACTAAAATATATTTTTAATTACCCCAAGAACGATTTCTTTTTTAATTCTATTAAGTAATATATTAATTTTATATTTAAAAATTAATAAGACTATATAGATATTTATTAAATAATTACTATTTTAATTATTAGATTAGATTAATACGTATAAATTATATTTTTACTATGTCAGTTTGCAATCAAATTCTTTATTAAAAATGGAATATCAATACCATGCATAAAACATCAATTTAGCATTAAAAATTTCAGTTTAATTTATTTTTATTATTTTAATTATTTTAAAACCCTAATTAAATAAATATAATGATTTATTAATTGATAATTATCAAATTTAATACTTCAATTATCCGAGTTCAAAATCACTATTAAAACTTTAAAATGCATGTGAAAAATTAATCTATCAAAAAAATTTTAAAAAACAAAACATGTGGTGAGTAATTTAATACAGTTTTTTAATTTCAAACTATACCTTAGATAATGAAAGGCTATTAATTGTAGTTCTATAAGATATAAATTATGAAAACAAAAAGGTTAAAAGAAAAACAGGTAAATTAATTAATATATAATCTAAGATATTTTATTTATAAAATAATAAAAGATAAACCTGAGGATCAATCTGTAGATATATGTGAGATCCAATGTATAGATATCTCAGGATGTATTAATTTTTTAAATATAATTAAATATCAAATTTTATATAGGCATGGAATCTGATAGCAGTAATCCATATAAAGGTATGAGTTGTATTAGAACAAATTATTTGATGAAATATATTTTAAAATTAATTTTATTTAGATTGTTTGGTTAATGAAGAAAGAAGGCTTATTGATGAGAGGACTAATATGGGGACAGTAGAAAAGAAAAAAATGGGTAAATTAATTTATATTTAATATAAAATATTTTATTTATATAATAGAAGTTAAACCTGTGAGTCAATCTATTAATATATGTGTGATCCAATGTATAGATATCTCAGGGTGTGTTAATTTTTTAAATATAATTAAATATAAAATTTTATATAGGCATGGAATCTGATAGCAGTAATCCATATAAAGGTATGAATTGTATTGGAACAAATTACTTTTGATGAAATACATTTTAAAATTAATCTTATTTAGATTGTTTGGTTAATGAAGAAAGAAGGCTTATTGATGAGAGGACTAATGTATGGACAGTAGAAAAGAAAAAAATAGGTAAATTAATTTACATTTAATATAAGATATATTTATAAAATAATAAAAGCTATACACATGGCTCAATCTAAAAGTGACAATCATACAAGTATTTTTTTCATTATAACAATATTTTTCTTCAAATATATGATATTTGCCATAATTTTCATAAAAAAAATATTATTTTAATTTATATATTAATATTTGTCACTTTTTTAGAAGAACTCATACAAGTATTATTTTTATTTTAACAATTCTTCAAATATATATTTGTCATAATTTAAAAGCAGTGATATTTTAATTCATATATTAATATTTTTACTTTTTCAGAAGAGCTTGATCTGGATACTAAAACAACTGGACCTATGCAACCAATATTAGGTGCATACCCTTATACTGGATTGGGGAAAGATAAAAGATGTTTTCAACCTCTGTGGTACAAATTCTTTCCTTGGAATATAGCATTACCAGAAACGCTATTTTTTGTTTTCCTTGTCGTAATGTCATGCAACGAATGAGATTCTCTGGAACCATTTTAAACAATCTTTAATAGAAGGGATCATTAAAGAATAATTTGTAGCTCTAAATAAATCAGCAATAATGGAAAGAAGAGAATATTTGAAACGATTTTTCAAAATTATAATACTATGTGGTAAGTTAGAACTTCTCCTTAGAGGACATCATGAAAGTAAGACAAACAATAATCAAGGGAATTATTGTGAAAGATTAAACTGTTTGAAAGAGTATGATTCATTTTTAATGGCATATAAGCCACCAGGCAATGCTCATTATTGCTCACCTCCATCACAAAATCAAATGCTATCTGCAGCGGGAAACATAATCTTAAAGTACATAGCTTCAGAAATAAGGGAGGCAGGTTATTTTGCTGTCATGGCTGATGACACTCGTGATGTTAGCTCATATGAACAATTTAGTATATATGTTAGATATGTTGATAAAACAAAAACACCAAAGGAATCTTTTATATCTTTTGAAAAAGTTGTAGACTTAGATGCAGAATCATTAACAAAGACATTGATATCATCCTTAAATAACAATTCTTTAAATGCGATTTGCGTTGCTCAAGCTTATGATGGTGCCAGTGTTATGAAAAGGCATTTTTAGGAGTCCAGGAAATATATCGCAAAAATCACAAAATGGCTATATATGTGCACTGCTATGCACATAAACTCAATCTTGTATTGATCTCAGCATGCAAATATTTACCTCAGTCTAGAAAGTTTTTTAATGTATTAGAATCTATTTATGCTTTTTTCTCAATATCTATTATCCATCATAATAAATTTCTTGATTTACAATTAAGATTAGGACTAAAATCCAAAAATATTGATGCTTTGAGTTCTACACGTTGGGGATCCTATATTTAAACAATAGAGGCAGTAAAAAAAACTTTCCCTGCAATTATTTCTTATCTAGAAAATATAGAGCATCAGCATAATGATATGGTGAAAGCAAATAAAATTTTATATATTCTTTTACAATATGATACAATTATATGTATGTTTATATTCCAAAAATTATTATCTATGTGTTCCAATATTTCTATTTTTTTACAAAAATCAGATTCTGACATATCAACAGCATTGGCTCTTATCGAGTCTCTTATCATTTATTTGTCAAATTTAAGAAATAATTCTTATTTTTCTTCATTATTTACCGAAATAAATAAATTCTGCAATTTATATAATATAAAAATAACAAATAAAAAACAAATATACCTTCTACCATTTTAAATGATTCTATTCAAATAGATGATATTGTTTCTCCTAATTATTCTGATCAAACAGAAACCTTTTCATGTCTTTTATCCAATTTTGGATATTATGATAAATGAATTAAAAAAGAGATTTTGTCAAGAAAACACAGATATATTAATAGCTATAAGTGCTTTACATCCCTCCTCCCCCCAATTTTAAAATAATGATATCATTAAACCATTTATCTTACATTATAATCTTCCTGATCCAATGGAAGAATACGCAATATTAAAGATTTATATTTTAACCTATAATAAAACACATGAATTTATGTGCATCGATAATAAATTTGATATAATTAACCCTAATCCCTTATATTGCTACAAAACATGATGAATCTATTATTAAAGATAAGCAAATAAAATAATGATGATTAAACAAACGCCTTACCCGTTCTAGAGTTAATGGTAGACAAAATAATAAAGAGCTACGCTTGAAATGAACTCATCTGGAGATTTATTTTGTTTTTTTTACTTATGTTTTATATCTATGTTTATTTTATTTTCACCCAGTTCTTCAAATGATATATCTATCACCACTACCACAATCCCTATGCCACCTCCGCCTGTTTTTTAACAAATATAAATAATTCTATACTATCATTCACTTTACTAGGAGTTAATATAAAAATTTTATAATCCGATTCTCTGAGAAACTTTCATGAATATTTAGAAGAATGTTCAAACTTGAATGTGTACAGCCAATTTCATCAACTTTATTAATGGAAAAATATGCAGTAGTTCTGTCGTGGCCTTTATAACAATACTTACGACCGTTTTATGGTTGAGTTAACATTGTCGTTCATGATTCTATAGAAGGGTATACCAATGCTGACATTGGCAGAAATATTGTTTTGGCGTGTTCAAACTTGAATGTACAGTACAGCCAATTTCATCAACTTTATTAATGGAAAAATATACAGTAGTTCTGTCGTGGTGCCGGCCCGGCCCTAACCCGAAATTTATTTTAAAATTACAACAATACTTACGACCGTTTTATGGTTGAGTTAACATTGTCGTTCATGATTCTATTTTAGAGGGGAATACCAATGCTGACATTGACAGAAATATCGTTTTATTCTTCTTTTACCAGTATCCCAAGGCATAGGTATATCATCTTTATCAGGACGCAATGTGCGTCATTACCTTCATCTACAACCCTAAATGATATAAAATTATACGTTAATTATTTCCTCTCCAGACGACCGTCCAGATTTATTTTGTCACATTTTCCATTAAAAATTAAAATGTCAACAAAGATTTGCTTTTAATTTTATCAAATACATAATAAATAATCCTCATTATTTTTTAAAAAAATTATCCTAAATTTATATGTCAATAAAAAAAAATATCTTAAAAAATATATAAATAATTTGCATATAAATTTCATTAGTGTTTAATGGCATTTTTGTTTAAATAGACAGAATTTTTTTTTACTTAACATAAAAAAATATATATCCCTTATCAAATTCTTTGACAAATAATTTCAGAAATGCAAGACATACATTAAATTTATCTGAAAAACAACAATAACCTTATATAATAAACAACATATTTTTTAGATATAATTTTAATTGATCATATTACAAAAAAGTATAAGAGTCGGTTATTTTTATTTTATTTGTCATGATTCTCTAATAAGTGGTTGCCCAGGCCTTCCCAGTTTCCCTTAATAAAGAATTTACATGTTTTTTTTACCATATTAGACTAATTGGTAAATCAGATATTTCCCGTTCATGTGATGATATTAAAAATTTAACTATCTCAGAGGCGGGAAAAAATTTTCAAAATTATAATAGGTAGGACTGGGCTTGGAACCTCAAAAAATATTAGCTTGCACCTGACTTGGGAATAACTTTTACAAATTATTAAAAGTTGAGCTGGGCTTGATAAACTTTTTTATAATTATAAGATCTTGGATGCTTCCTAATATTGTGAGCTTGTACCTGGCATGACATCTAAAAAGAATAAAAAATCTCATTCCCCGCTGACGGGCTTTCTACTAGTATTAAAATTAATTTTTAATAATATTTTTTACTAAAATAAATAGATGGCGTTAAATAATTGAATGCAAATTGTTGCTATATTTATTATCAAGAGCATTGATAAGTAAAATTTATTAAAATATTAAGTGTAATATATTCTCTAACTGTCAAATATGTCTGTAAAAGTGGAATTTTACCTAGTATTTTATTAAAAATTCTATATAATAGAGGAATATCAACTATATTCTACTTACTTTTTATAAATAAATTTCTTATACTTGTTTGAAATAAATTATTACCATGCTTTTATATTAATGTATATACAAGTAATTTATTATATTTTATATAAATTAATAAAAATATATTTTATATTTGTTCAAGGCTTAATTTTTTTGATTATAATTAACCTCCTATCTTGTAAAAATATTTTTTAACTATATATAGACTAAGGTAACCCGGTGTAGCGTGATTAATTAACTCCCCTTATCACATACCTCTGAGTTAAGTAATAACTATGATAGATTAACTCCCCCTTTGATAAATAGTGTTAAGGAGGGAGTTAATTAATAACAAAGATATTAATTACAATGTAAATTGATAGGGAGAGTTATATGATCATGCAGTTTTTTTTAATATTGCTGAAATTCTTGTAAATTTGATTTTCGAATTTAAATTTTGAATCGAATTTAAATTTTTTTTATCTACTTGGTGAAATTAAACATCCTTTTTAAAAAGTAACTTGTTCACGTAAAAAGTAAAATATTTTATTATTTTAATATAAAAATATTAAATAGTGAATCACGATGTTATCTATGATATTTATAATTACCTAAAATACAAAACCTACCCAAACTCCTATGTCGGCGATCATGGCTTAAAAAGAAACCTTAGAATCAAATGTGCCAAGTTTTTCTTAGAGAATGACAAATTATACCATAACCTTCATAATGCTCAAGTTATCTCACTCTATAACGAAAAACAAAATTTTTTAGTATCATTCCATGGAGGATGTGAGACAAATCTCACAGAAATGTCATTATCAGGTCACTTTGGAATCAACAAGACATATGATAAACTAGTTATAAGGTATATTTACTACTCAATTTAAAATTCTCTTTCAATTAACAGAATATTGTTTTAAAATATTGCTTAAATTTAGCCTGATATCACCCAAAAAGCTTGTCACACTTTTAAAATGTACTTTAACATAATCAGGTATATATTGCTCTTATAAGCTAGGATACAGTACTCAATTTAAAATTCTCTTTCAATTAATAGAATATTGTTTTAAAATATTTCTTAAATTTAGCCTGATATCACCCAAAAAGCTTGCAACACTTTTAAAATATACTTTAATATAATCAGGTAAATATTGCTCTTATAAGCTAGGATACAGTACTCAATTTAAAATTCTCTTTCAATTAATAGAATATTGCTTAAATTTAGCCTGATAACACCCAAAAAGCTTGCAACACTTTTAAAATGTACTTTAATATAATCAGGTAAATATTGCTCTTATAAGCTAGGATAGTACTCAATTTAAAATTCTCTTTCAATTAATAGAATATTGTTTTAAAATATTGCTTAAATTTAGCCTGATATCACCCAAAAAGCTTGCAACACTTTTAAAATGTACTTTAATATAATCAGGTAAATATTGCTCTTATAAGCTAGGATACAGTACTCAATTTAAAATTCTCTTTCAATTAATAGAATATTGTTTTAAAATATTGCTTAAATTTAGCCTGATATCACCCAAAAAGCTTGTAACACTTTTAAAATGTACTTTAAATAATCTTACCATCCTCAGGCTAATGGCATGGTAGAGCGAGCCAATCGTACTCTTCAAAATTCCCTTTTGAAGTGTACAAAAGGCAATCAGAAAGATTGGCCTGGAGTTCTACCTGGTATTGTATTTGCCTACAATACATCAAGGCATGAATCCTCAAAATTTACGCCATATGAGATGATGTATGGCAGGAAAGCTTTACTGCCCTGTGAGGTATGATATATATATCATTATTTGTATAAAATTATTATACGTAATAAATTTTTAATTTAAGGATGATAGAGAACCAGAAACAGATCTTGACGATCTTTCTGATACAGATTATGACTGCAATTTCCAAAGAAGGGCAGACAATATGAAAGGCATATTCAAGACTGCAACAAAAAATATTATAAAGGCTCAGCTTAAGCAGCAACGAGATTATAAAACTCGTAATGCTGCTAAGAATGCACTTTATCACATAAATGATAAAGTGCTTGTATGGAATAATCGTCGGGCTGACAGGAAAGGAGGGAAAATGTTGCAGCCTTGGGTAGGTCCTTATACAATTGTTAAAATTGTTAATAGTAAATTT